TTGTGAAGATCGGACTTTGATAGATCCCTGTTCTTTAAATAAAACAGGACACTCACTGACACCTGATTGGCATCCCATTGATTGAAAACACCTCTGAATGGATAGACTCTAATTTTGCCTTCAAATTAACTGCTAATCCACTCACTAACATGTAATCTCTTTTTTTTTTTCAGATCATTTTGCATAATGAAAGTAATGTCATGATTCAAAAATCTCAAATGTGTTAAAATAGTTTTTAAGCAATTTTTTGGGGAGGCAATGTATGGCAAACAATTCTTCATGAGATTTACTCATTATGTAATTATATAGGCCTATATATATTTATCTGTTATATGATACATGCTAACCGTTTACTCTGTTTCAAACTGAAAACTACCTGTGAAGCATAAGGTCCTAGCGTGAGGTTGAATGTGACACCTGCAGATGTCTTGTGGGTCTGAGGCGGCCCAGTGGACACGATCTTCTCTGAATGTCCGGCATCTGATGTTGAATACTTCAACAGTACATTAAACTGCTAAACTAGTAGTACATATCAGAATAAAAAAAATCCTAGCAAGTGTGTTTATTAATGTAATAATACATTCATACTTTCCTTTAGCTTTAAAAATGCTTGAGTTTATTTTTAACAACAGTAAATGCTTTTCATTTTACATGCAAAAAGGATTATTTATAAAGAAGGCTGATAGGTACAGTAAGAAATAAGGCCTGTTCAACTCTAAGGAGCATGGAAAGCATGGAAAATGACCATGAACGTGTATTCAGGTTTCACCTTTTCCAGAGGGTGAGTGGTCCTCAGTAGAGTAGCTCTGGTCAGATGGCTTTGGCAGAGACTCTGTGAATCTGAATGGGACTGCAATGGTTCAGCACGACGACCTGCCCTCCACCGGTCACATCACACTCAACCTGCACTGGCTGTAACATCTCCAAGCAGATGGCCTGTTTCATCACTTTTGAAATGGCTTCATTTTTATTTATCAAAGATCTGGCACAATCTGCCCCTGACACTCAAACAAAAAGATGAGTGATGAGTGTGTAATTTCTGACTAGTGGCATCAAATGAAAATGCAAATATAATGATTGTAAAAAAACTGGTATTTTATTGTTTGGATAAATCAAGGATCTTTTGTCCATTCATTGGTAATTCTTTTTTTTTTTTTTTGAAAACCACATAAAATGGCAAATATTTTATTACACTACTAGATGTTTGAACCATGACTGATTTTTTTTGACCATTTTTTGTTTCTTTTTTTAGAGAATAATGAGAATTATGACGTGTGTGTGTGTGTGGCAATAATATATATTGCAATAATAAGGCATTTGAGAGAGATGATACCTGACAAATATTGGACGTCTCAGCTGGAAGCTTCTGGTCATGAGGCGACACAAGAAGAGCATGGGGCTGATTTCTCTGGAAAAATTATAAAAAATAATCCATTAAGTCCCTTTGAACCAAGCTTCACATACACAACACAAACATCTTCAGATTGTACATTACATCTAAATCCTTGATGTGTAGAATAACCCTCCAGACTGAAAACATCTGCACCATCAGAGCTGGTACTGGTGACAGCTCCCTATGATAGAAAGAAATCAACAATTTAATGAGTTAAAGACATAACCTAATCACTGGAAATGCATTATGTGTTTGGTTCTGACTCTTAAATGAGATTTCATATTTCACATAGAAAATACTTTCGATTTGTGCACACTCACTGATGACACAGCATAATGAAAAGCCTCCTGGGATGGCCAGGAGCTGTACGGTTGGCCTAGTACATGCTGATAATGGTTAGACTGAGCCACTAGTATTCAGGATAGGACGCTGAGCTAAAGTGGGCTACTGGAGGCAAAGGATCACATGTTAGCGGATGAAGAATCCTGTAAGTGGGGTAGTCATCCTCCCGCAGGGATGACTGATGAGATTTGCTATTCTAGGACTTTCATGGGTGTGGTGTAAAGGAACAAGAGACCCTTCAGAGAACTCTCTTTTGTAGCTGTACTCTTGGTCCTCCAACTCATTCATTCTCCTGCTCTAGATGGCGCTGGAATCACACAGGCATGTAAGAGAACAGCATGTTAATCTACAGATGCTGTATAAAACAAAGTTACAAAGCAGATTTCATTTTAATTTAAATTTGAGCAATTCTGTATTTTTGTCATTTTTATTCATTTTTAATTGTCGTCTAAGATATACATTTTATTTCAATTATATGTATATATGTGTGTGTGTGTTTGTGTGTGTGTGTGTGTGTGTGTGCGTTTGTTTAGAACAAAACAACAACACTGGTCCTGACTAAGTAACGTTAATGGAAAGTTGTACTGTATAGTGAATATACATTTTTCTAGTTATCCTCTTCAGTAAACTATTCCATTGTTAATATATTTATTTTGTGCATAGCGAAAAAGCTATCAAATGTATCTAATATAAAATATACATAAATAACCAAATATTTAAATAAGATGTTTAGTTTATTTACTTTGAGGTGATCTGGTTATGCTAGCGATTTAGCTAATCATTCGTCCACCTCAAGATATTAATAAAATATCAAATCTGCTGACATTATGATACACTTACTAGATAACTAAGTGCGTAATGTTTTTTTACCGTTTAAAATGACAGCATTAAATTATCTGAGACTGTATAAGAGTTTTGGATATGTTTTTCAACATTACATTACAGATACTGTAAAAAGCGCGAAAATAACAAGATTTGAGCTCACGCACATTAACAGCAAAAACCGCGAGAGGTCGCGTGCCTCTCTATTTCACATAATTATGTTTTGTCAAATAGAATACCCTTATACCTTAAAGGAACTTTGGTTTTATTTTATAAATCCGCTTTGTAAACAATATATTTAGGTGTTTTAACGATGTGTTTTACTAATGCGAGAGAATTTAGCAGCGTTAGCTTCCCCCTCACATTTCTAACGCGTTACTATCCATATTACGTTAAATCTGGTTAATGTTTGAAGGTTGGACGCTTATGAAACTAACCCCGCCTCCAGCTGGACTGCTCCTATGACTTGAAGATGAAGATCAACTTCTCAAAGTGTCACTCGGTGCTCATCACGGGGGCAAACAGAGGTCTCGGACTGCAAATGGCCAAACAGCTGCTCGATACAGCCTGTGCTCAAGCTGCTTAACGAGTGTTTGTGGTTTGCTGTCATTGGCAGGAACTGCAATAACTTGCCAAATCGCATCCAAACGTTCATGTTTGCCTCAAGGTGAGTTGCATTGTCACGTGACTAAAGCCCCGTTCACACCGCCAGCGACTTTTTCGCTGCTTGTCGCTTGTAGCTGGCAATTGATGTCGCTAGTGGGCGTTCCCACTACTGGTTGCCTAGTTACCCCCATAACACTCCACTACAGCAGATGAATCACGTGCTCTCCACTGACTTCACTCCCATTGGTTGTCGCTCGCGAAATTCGCTGCTTATTTGCATAAAGTTGAAGAATTCTGAACTTTTGTCGCTTGACTCGCATCGCTCGACACGCCCAAATTCCGTCGCCAACGGTCACTGTAGCTCGTGTCGCCGGAAGTCGCCAGCTCTCCATTGAAAATGAATGGGATTATGTCGCTGTGTGTCGCTGGCGGTGTGAACGGGGCTTAACACGGATGAGCGTAAACGAAGTAAATTATTGTATTTTCCACTTCTGCATCATCATCAAGACGATATGTGTATCCACACAGGTTTGTAGTGCGAACAGTTTTACCGTTTACTGCACTGTTACTCTCCTCGTTATTTCCCTATAGCGGCTAATGAAACGGAAGTTTCACCCATAGGCTTACTTCCGCGTTGAAGAAAAAGGTGGATAGAATTGTGTTTGTATTTAGTTTACCGCCTTCTTTATCTGTTTGAATATTTAAATACTTTATCTATCTGTACATTTAATTGATTTATTTATAAAAAGTATAAATAAATCGCAAACAGTGTATGTATTAAAATGTATTATTATTTAATATTTAATACAATGTTGTATTTTAAATACCACCAAACCTCCACAAAATGCATAAATAAATCATATTAAAATATTAGTGAGGTGCAATTGTTATATATGTCCAGTAGGTGGAGAGAAAGGACAAATAAATGTGAGTCTTATTGACGTTGACAAATGTACTTTTTAATTTCCACATTAAACTATATATTCCCTGTCAAACTCTATATAATATATATAAAGTACAAATTATATTTGTGTAATTGTTATCTATAGGATTCAAACATTTCTGGAAATTTTTGAATTATTATAGTATATATTAATGTTTTAAATGAGCATTTTTATATATTTTCATTTTCATATGTTCAGTTTTAGTAATTTTGTTATGTGCATTTTATTTTTTTGTCATTTAGTGATGCCATTTACTTTTTTTTTCAAGCTTTTTTAGTTGTTGTTTTTTTTAAGTTCAAGTTTAAATCTGAAGTTATTTAAGTTACTTTCCATGTCTCCAGCTGGACTGCTCCTATGACTTGAAGATGAAGATCAACTTCTCAAAGTGTCACTCGGTGCTCATCACGGGGGCAAACAGAGGTCTCGGACTGCAAATGGCCAAACAGCTGCTCGATACAGCCTGTGCTCAAGCTGCTTAACGAGTGTTTGTGGTTTGCTGTCATTGGCAGGAACTGCAATAACTTGCCAAATCGCATCCAAACGTTCATGTTTGCCTCAAGGTGAGTTGCATTGTCACGTGACTAAAGCCCCGTTCACACCGCCAGCGACTTTTTCGCTGCTTGTCGCTTGTAGCTGGCAATTGATGTCGCTAGTGGGCGTTCCCACTACTGGTTGCCTAGTTACCCCCATAACACTCCACTACAGCAGATGAATCACGTGCTCTCCACTGACTTCACTCCCATTGGTTGTCGCTCGCGAAATTCGCTGCTTATTTGCATAAAGTTGAAGAATTCTGAACTTTTGTCGCTTGACTCGCATCGCTCGACACGCCCAAATTCCGTCGCCAACGGTCACTGTAGCTCGTGTCGCCGGAAGTCGCCAGCTCTCCATTGAAAATGAATGGGATTATGTCGCTGTGTGTCGCTGGCGGTGTGAACGGGGCTTAACACGGATGAGCGTAAACGAAGTAAATTATTGTATTTTCCACTTCTGCATCATCATCAAGACGATATGTGTATCCACCTTTTTCTTGCCGTAAAAATGGGCGCAGCCATTTGTAAATTCTATGGGTCTAGCTTCCGGTTTCATCCGCATCCAGCTATATTTAGCTGTACAAAACAGTTCATTTTGCTGCTTGATATCGAAAACTGGTGTGTCTTATCATACTATTTTAATGTATTATCTTAATTATGAACACACAGGTTTGTAGTGCGAACAGTTTTACCGTTTACTGCACTGTTACTCTCCTCGTTATTTCCCTATAGCGGCTAATGAAACGGAAGTTTCACCCATAGGCTTACTTCCGCGTTGAAGAAAAAGGTGGATAGAATTGTGTTTGTATTTAGTTTACCGCCTTCTTTATCTGTTTGAATATTTAAATACTTTATCTATCTGTACATTTAATTGATTTATTTATAAAAAGTATAAATAAATCGCAAACAGTGTATGTATTAAAATGTATTATTATTTAATATTTAATACAATGTTGTATTTTAAATACCACCAAACCTCCACAAAATGCATAAATAAATCATATTAAAATATTAGTGAGGTGCAATTGTTATATATGTCCAGTAGGTGGAGAGAAAGGACAAATAAATGTGAGTCTTATTGACGTTGACAAATGTACTTTTTAATTTCCACATTAAACTATATATTCCCTGTCAAACTCTATATAATATATATAAAGTACAAATTATATTTGTGTAATTGTTATCTATAGGATTCAAACATTTCTGGAAATTTTTGAATTATTATAGTATATATTAATGTTTTAAATGAGCATTTTTATATATTTTCATTTTCATATGTTCAGTTTTAGTAATTTTGTTATGTGCATTTTAGTTTTTTGTCATTCAGTGATGCCATTTACTTTTTTTTTCAAGCTTTTTTAGTTGTTTTTTTTCAAGTTCAAGTTTAAATCTGAAGTTATTTAAGTTACTTTCCATGTAGTGTATTTCAATAACTTTTAATAGTTTTAGTTAACAATCATAACACTGGTCCTGAATAAGTAATAGAACGTTTTCTAGTTATGCTCTTCTGTAAAACATTTCATTGGTTATTTATTTCTTTTGAGTAGATACATAAGACATTGAGATGTTTGATTTGGAAGCAAATCGGTCTCTTGAGTTGCTTCTTTTTAATGAACCAAATCAAATGGATTCACAAATCAGTCTTTATTATTTCAGATGTCACCAGTGACAGCAGTGTGGATGCAGCAGCACAGGCAGTGGAATCCATTGTGGGTGCTGATGGGTTGAACTGCTTAATTAATAATGCAGCGATTAACATGACGACTGAACTGGACACAGTCCCTCGAGATGCCATGATGAAAACCCATGAGAGTAACACAGTGGCTCCTCTCTTTGTGACCAAGATAATATGACTGGATTAATTACCATCCACAGGCAACTATAATCTAACGCTCTTATAAACTTTCTTATTGGTATTTTATTTTCAGAATTTATTCATTGAAATCAAAAGTTCCTCTTTATTGAATACCCATCATCTTTTTCAGGCTTTCCTGCCATTGTTGAGAAGGGCGGCAGCTGAAGGCAGTGACATGGGAATCCAGGGAGCCGCAGTGATCAATGTGTCGTCCATCCTGGGATCTGTGCAGCTCAACTGGGGCGAGGGGGCAAGCTGCAAGAGGTACGCATACAGGGCATCTAAGGTAAAACACCTGCTTAGTTGCATGGTGGGAAAAATGATGAACTTCTACATACTCAACTTTGATTTTTGACATATTCAGGAGTGCCTTGAATATGGTTACGAGGTGTTTGGTTACCGATCTGGAAACTGAGAAGATCTTGTGCGTCGCCCTTCACCCTGGTTGGGTGTGCACTGATATGGGCGGACCAACGGTGAGTCTGAATGTGTTTTTCAATTGTCTTGAAAAAAATGACTTTGTTTTAACCCATTTTCTTGCACTTGAAGGCTCCTTTGAGCCCAGAGGAGAGCATATCATCAGTGTTGTCTGTCATTTCTGGATTAACGGAGAAACATCATGGTTGGATATGTGGACTACACTGGAAAAAGCTTACCCTGGTGATCTCCATATTGTCCGAGTGCCAGATGACCGCTGAGAAGCTAAGACCGGAAGAACAGCCTGCAGTATAAATTATTCATGTTTCCACCTGTATGTAAGAAGTAAAATAGTGAAGTAACCTTAGGTCTTAGGAGAATTGAATTGTTATGAAAGGTTACATGGGTGTGTTTATACTTTGAAAATAAAAAAGTAATAGTCTGTCATGGATATTGCCTTTTCTATGAATATAAAATAAAAGATAATAAGACCGACAATAAGGTGAGTCGAATGCCATTTATGAGTTTTATTTTTTGAATCCATCTCCACATCAGCCGTCAAGTGATTCTGACAGATTAAAGTTACGTGGTAATATTGACAGGTTAGCGTGGTGGAGAAGGCTTTGAACGTTAATACAGCCTCAGAGCGATTTCAGCCGGGCGCGGTGGAGGTCACGGTGTGTCAATGCTGGATTCGGTCAAAATTAGGGTTGACTTATTTCCTCTGACATGAGAGAGGAAGGCAGACTGTCGAGGGCTCCAATTTCTGCAGGGTGAAGTAAGTACAAATTTGAAAATTAGAACAATTCTCTTTCTTGCAGTCAAGTTACGTTAGGTGAACCGTAGTTTTTTGGGTCTTATTCGCCTAAAACCTACAGAGATTGTTATTCAGAATTGCACGGTATATACATTACTTGTCCTTTATGTGTCAGTTTATTATATTTTGACTAATTTGATGGGTTCAGCTACTAGTAAAAGTCAGAGTTGAATTCTAAATGTGTGAATTTGAGATTTGAGATTTGGAATTTGAAATGAATTGGTCAAGAATTCAAGCTGGAATAACAGGAATGAATGGTTAACAGTCACACAACAGATGAATTTCAATAGGTCAGCACAACAATAAAATGATCAAAAACTGAAAACTTCTTAGGCGTTTCCTTCATGTTTGAGTGAGCTTTGAAGTGAAAAAAATAATGTGAAATGTTATTACAATTTTATATATAGAATATAAATATATACATGTAAATATTTTCAAAATATATGCTGTATGTGTGTGTATTTATATATACATAATAAATATACACAGTACACAAACGTGTAAACAAAAACTTTTATTTTGGATGCGATTAATCGCGATTACTTAATCGTTTGACAGCACTAATGTGTATGTATATATATATAGGTCCCTTTTGGTTTATTTAAAGCATCCCTGTTGAATAAAAGTATACATTAAAAACATACTATATTAACTACTTACAGCAGTTTGAAGATGATGTATTTAACTTTATTTTAGTTACGTAAATCTGACAAAATCTCTACAAAAATTAATAACAACTGCACTTACCTTTTAATTTGAGGTAAGAAAGAAAGTCTATGATAGTATGGACAACATCCTCATCTGATATCCTCAGAGCTGCTAAAAAGCAGAAACAGTCGTTACAAGATTTTATCGAGTCATTATTATTTATTATTTTACTGATAAAGCCTTGCCACAACATCTGTGAACGTACATTATTAATTAATGGATAGTATAATCCACTTCCCAGCCTTTATAGAGTCTAATAAACCATATAGAATCCTGCTCTTAATTAACACAAATCCCTTTTCACACTGATGAGTCCCTACAGGCAGTGCATGTTTCTTACCTGTCTTGAAATCTTCCTCTATGGGCATTTCTCTCTTCCCTGCCAGTCCGTGCTTGTCGCTAAGGCTCCTGTGGCTGTCTATGGCATCTGATCACAAAGCAAAACCACACATAATCACATTGATCATTTGAACAGCCCGCTGAGCACCACGCCGTCAGACCCTGACGCCCCGGCTGATATTCATAGACCTGCCTGTGGCACACATATGTTCCTAATGCGACAAGTCATTATCCGAGGAATAGCTTTTTTGTTTTTGTTTTTTCTGTTTTTTGGACAGATTGAGTAGAGCAACCTGCAGGAATTGAGTCATGGAATTGCTTTTTTTGTTGCAATGCGAAGCACAAGCTCACACCCTTGTGAAAAAGAAGTGCACTTAATTGTATTGAATGTACACTTGAAGTGTACTTCAAAACTTAGAAGTATATTTTTAAAATCTGTACTTGCAGATAATATAATATTACCTAAATTAAAGTCCACTTTCATGACTGTTTCTTAACGCACTTAAGCACACTTTTAAAAATTGCTCTTTGTAATAATGCCAAATTAAAAGTTGTACCTTTAAGTAATATATACTTACAATCATATTTAAATACATGACTTAAAAGTTTCAATAGAAATTACATTAAAGTAGGCTATATTTGAATGTCAGTATATTCAGCAGTACACTTTAACAATATTTCATCAGACAATAGAAGTAATTATGAAATTGCATATAAAGATGTACTTAAATCCTACTTAAGTGGGTCAAAAAGAAGCACTCTTAAGTTCAACTAACTGCATTTAATATAAATTTAAACTATAATAAATTGCATTTAATTGCAAAAATTATGCAATCAAGTGTCCGAAAACATTACATTCAGTTTGCACTTAAGTATATTCTTTTAATGTATGTTATTTCCATAACTACTCATTTTAAAAGTATTCTAAAGTGTACTCCTTTTCCACAAGCGCACCCAAAGGGCAAAAACGACAGCAAAAGCTCATAGCAAGTGGACAAGCAGAGACAGAGAGTAGAGCGGAGGATGTAAAAAGAGTGAAATCACCTTTAACAGACTATTTAATGCAAGGAAAACAGCAGAATATTGCTTATATATTCAGAAAGAAACCTGCTGCTATGGGTTAGTACTAATAATTGAATTTAAGACTGTAATATGGCAGTATTTAGAAAGTCCATGAAGAAGAATACTTCATGCTTTTGCACACAGATTATGTACTTAAAGTATTCCCTCAAACAGCATAATAGCAATGCTTTTAAAGCTCGATTGATCTTTCCAGTTTAGGTGAAAAGATCTTTCTTTGATTCATGCTGAATGGAAGCTTCACCAGCAATGGAAAACAGCACAAAGAGCGAAACGCCACAGAGCAATTCCTCCTCTGACTTCAATAACCTGCAGGTGCTATCTTACATTGACCAAGCAGATCTTCTCTCCCCCTTGCACTGGGAGAATCCTTAATCTGTATAAGGTGATCAATACGACCTGAAACACAGGGAGCTTATGTAACTGACCTACACAGGTGAGCTCAACATCAGTGCACCCCAACACATTTCATCAAAGACAGCGAACAGGCCTGCACAGATAGTACGGACAAACTAAAGAGTCCAAGGTTTAAAAAGTAGAGCCCCCATGTGAGCTCAACGCAAAAGTAAAGCAAAACAAATGAAGAAAGAATGTATACGTCAAAACAGTTAGCCTATACATAAATCATACGCAACTGTTTGTATAATAAACAGCTATGGGGAAAGATAAAGAGTGGTATTATTGGAGAAGACAGAAAAAAAGTCTACAAAAGATGTAACGGGGAACTCACGAGGACCGAGGAGATACCCAGCACTGTTGAGGGTCCATCCTCTCTTCTCTTTGGCCTGTTTTATAGAATATGTAATATATAAAAATAGAAAGTTCAAGTTATACACTGTAAAAAAAACATCCATTTAAATTTACAGTTAAAAACTGGCAGCTGTGTTGCTAGAAGTTCACTGTAAAAAATTATGTTTAATAGGATGGCATACTGGTGCCTTTATATTTAACAACTGATAACTCTATATTTCAATAAGTGATATAATGTTAATATCTACTTTAAATAACAAAAAAGTGAATTTGACGGTTTATTAAATAACAATATTTGTTTTTCCATTACACTCTAAAAAAGGCTGGGTTAAATACAACCCAGTGCTGGGTAAAATAGGGACAAACCCAGCAATTGGGCTGTTTTGACCCAGCAGCTGGGTTAAATGTTTAACCCAACCTTCTGGGTAGTAACCCAACCGCTGGGTCAAAACAGCCCAATTGCTGGGTTTGTCCCTATTTTACCCAGCACTGGGTTGTATTTAACCCAGCATTTTTTAGAGTGTACTATTGTTATTGACATTTTACGTTACCTTTTACATTTACGCTATTTTGCCGAAAACCCTAATTCTATTTAATGCCGTGTCCAGTTGTGACTACTTACCCCATAAAGCCCGACAACATGTCCAGGTATTGGGGCAAAAGTAAACGTGCATTCTTTATTTCTTACCCAATAATGTTAAATATTTATAGCAAAGACTTTAGGATATGTGTTAAAACAGAAATTGCCTTTTTTTTTTTAAAGCCACTGTGAGATTGTGAAGACAATTTAAATTTAAAAATCGTTAAAATTGTGACAACTAGCCCCGGTCTGCCCTATAACAAGATGTTTCAAGGGAGTGCTGTTACACAGAACAGTTCCTATATCTTAAAAAAAAAATTTAAAAAAAATCACTGTTTCATCTTTTCCGTCATTTAATATGCATTTAAACATACAGTGTTAAATAATGAAGTGAATAGTTTTGAATCAAAGTAACTCTTACCGCAATCACCATTCCGAGTGTTTCCGTAAGAAACGCGCACACAATTAGAGACACACAAACTCCGCCGACACACTTGTGCATCTGAAAAACCGCATCAGTGAAGCATTATGAAACATACAGAACGTGCATAAACAGAAGAAATTAGAACGAAGGAGACTGGGAACTTACTCTGAGAATCAGTTGGGTCTTTGGAGAGTAAAACCACTAGTAGGTTAATATTCCTGCTGCTTCTTTACTCCTGGTCCTCTGATACTCCTGGGATCCGGAGCCTTTTATTGAAACGGAATGTCTCAGCTCTGACGTATTTACGTCAAAAGGTGACATCGTCAGGCTCTTCATCAATGACACCAGAGCAAATTAGCAACGATCGAGTCTGTTTATGTCCATGGATCAGCTGATTATCGCCTTATTGATTATTGTATAGCCATCAAAATGTCCCATCCAATTCAAAGATCACCTGTCAGATCTGTCAGGAAATGATATTATGGATTTTACATTTTCCAGTTTGACATTCCCAGCTCAGCATAAGCGCGCACATTTTACAGTAACAGAAATATTATTTTGCTTAAAATAGTCTTGAAATGTAGGCTACCCACATGCATGCTTCTAAAAGATTAAAGAAATAATGTTACTGTTGATCAGTAAATGAGTACATTTGAGTCATTTTTAATGCAAAAAGTAAGTTATTTCTTAGTGACTGTGTGAGAAATAAAAAGGAGAAATCTTATTAGTCTGCTCTGAAAAAAAAGGTTTTAGAAATGCAATCTTTGTATCCATACACTTGATTCATACATACATACATACATATATATATATATATATATATATATATATATATAAGCACATAACAGTTTATACTTATTAATCCTTATTTTAAAAAGGTAAAAATATTTGTATTATTTTATTTCAGGCTATATTTATTATCATATTAACAAACACACATCTTTGTGTTACTCCTTGTAACATGAATAAACCATACCTTTTCATCAAAAAAAGTCCTCACTTTTTTTCATTTTCTCTGTAATTATGCCTTTAACTAGAGCTCCAGAGATTAATGTGTATTCTTGATAACTGCACCTACTCAAGTCACCTTTTACAAGTTTCCTGCATTGTTATCGATCCATGTTTATTGACATTTTAACACATGCAAATACAGAGATATATAGAAACAATACATAGAAAAAACAAACACTTCAAACCGCAAGAGGACATTTTGATACGCTTTATTGAGTGCTGAAGGCAATATGGGTTCATATGTTCATATGGGTGGATTGTACATTCCAACAAAGCGCAGTTTTTCAAAGCCATACATGCATTTGTTAAGACTCAGTGACCTTACAATTCTTTCCCACTCCAGATAAACATATTGGCAGGCAATCATGAAAATAACAATTATTCCCAAAATAATGAACAAGACGAGTAGAATTTTGATGGCTCTTCTCAAAAGGCTTTGTTCCTTCTGATGGAAAGGGCTCTCAGATTCCTCCTTGTCTATTTCCATGCGTTGAGTCTGTAAGATGGTGTCATCCATCTGCTTCTCAGTTTCTTGAGAGCTGCGTTCTTGAGTGTCTGCACGACATTTCTTCTGATGATGTCCCTCACCAATTGGATGGATGATGGAGGCTGCTGATGATGAAGCCCTTGATGAAATGGAACAGAGTGCATACAATTCATCATCTTTCTTTTTAAGGAAATCAGTTAATACAGCTGTGTATGGTGTCTTTTCATTTAGAGAAAAAAAAACAAAACACTTTGGCAGGCATTTCAGATGAATACAAAATGAGATTCCATTACAAAATTGTATGATATACTCTGCATTAGATCAATACATAGCTGAACTAATTAATCTGCACAAGAGAAAGAAGCCTACCTGTTGTTTAAATCCGTTCCATGCACATTAATGAGTAATCTGAAAACTGCTCGGGAACTGCAGTGACCAGGACAGCAGGATTTCTCTAACTTGACTAACTTTACCGCGTTCATGGCAGTAGATGTCTCATTGACCTATGAGACAAACATTTCGATATCATTCCATTTGTCATTCAGTAGGCCTAGGCTATAGTGTCAGTCGTGGTGCGAATTATAAAATGACTTTTAGGGACTTCAACAATTATTTAAATCGAAATGCATAGTCACTTTGTGCCAATTACAGCTAGATAATTATAGCTACATAAACGTCAGATAACGAAAAGCATTTGTTATATTTGAGATATGTTAATATACTATGCTGGTGCATAATTACAGTAGCCTACTTGTCATGATTAATCGACGTAGATCGAAATAAAAGCGCTGATCTGATCTGGCGAACACCAAAACAGATCTACGAAAATGCACGCAAACGTTTGGACAACTTTGTCGTCACTGAACCTTTTGAACGCTGTTGAACATATACATACTTTTATTAAGAAACCCTGATTTCAGCTACTTCGGATGTTCCACTCAAATTCAAACGAAGACAGCCAAAGAAGAGAAATAGGCCTAAAATAAACCTAATAAGTCTTAGTTATTGGAATTAATCAAACCCAGTAACTACCTCAAGTCTTTTCTCTGTTGCATTTCTGTGTTCTGTGTAACTGTAAAGGAACAAAAAAAAAAATTCAGCAATTTGACAAACTTAAATCATCAGCCTGGCGTTGCTATGGTTACCACCTCACATGAGCACGATGTTATCACGTATAAGCGTCTGCTCTGCGTCAACTGAACGTGAACTCAAATTTGTAATCCATTTTTTTGAGGTTATTATTAAAACATAACAATCACCTTGCCAGGAACTCCTTCCTAAAATGTAAAGACATTTTTCAACTTCATTTTTCTGATTGGTCATTCATCATTATTCAAATCCATGGAACTAAACTTGTTTTCAGCAACTAAACAGGTTTCTTTAGAAAGCAACTATTTTAAATGAACCAGCCTGAGTGGTTAGCTGTTCAGGCCTTTCTAGTGTGAGCAGCTTATCAATTTCAGACATTTTTTTCCCTGCTGAAAAAACCCCCCGCTAAAACCAGCGTAAGTTGAAAGTAGCTTTTAGCTGGTCTCCTAGCCTGGCCAAGCTGGTTTTAGCTGGTCTCTCAGCCTGACCAGCTAAAGAAGTGGCCAAAACCCCTCTAAAACCAGCCTGCTGACCAGCTAAAACCAGCCAACCAGCTCAGGCTGGTTTTAGCTGTTTTTTGTTTGTTTTTTTCAGCAGGGTTCCCATTTATTCACCAAGAACTGAGTGTTTACTTTTTTATGGGTGTCCTAAATAAGAGTGTTAGCATTTTACAGCCATTATTACAATCATGTGTCTCTTTGTCCATCAGGTCTGTTATGAGATCATATCAAAGAAAGCCCTGATTATGACGCATGATGTCCAGAAGACCACAGCTGACTCACACTTACTACACTTATGTATCGGATCTGCAGTGGACTTTTTCTTTTCTGAAGAACACTCCTTGTATAGTGATTCACATCCAGCATCTTTTCAAATCATTTCAGAATACAATGAACATCAGTCTTTTATTCACGGTTAGCAGTTTCAAATGAGCAAAAACAAACAAATTCACTCTCCTTGCCGCATATTTGTTCCTTTTATGTGTGTTTAGATGTGTCTCTAGGGAGACCAACCTGTGGCGGGTACCATAAACCTTTATATTTTAGTTAAATACGTTTATTTTAGAGTCTATTAACTGGCAGAGCATTTCCTCCTTTTGCGTCATTTAACATTATTGTCACCTTTGATGGATATCGCAGTTCCACACAGCTGTCCGTTTCTCACCTCTACTGAGCATATATGCTTGCCGCATTTCCAAGTTCCATGGAACTAAAGATACGCTCTGCTTGCGTGTCACTCTCATTGTAAAATTGAAATTCAAGATGTATTTTCCATCCAAGATGTAGATGAGTTTGTTTTCTCCAGTCCATCAATTAACGTCTTGTGAAGTGAAAAGCTGCATGTTTGTAAGAAACAAATCCATCATTATCCATCATCATTTAACTTTAAACCTTTGCTTCTGGCCAAAATACGAGTCCTCTATCCATAATAATAAAAAATACTTTCATGTGGTTATGCTGCTCTTGCCCTTTAGCACACGGATAAATAATTTAGACATTCATTTGTACCAAATTAGTCTGGCTCCAATTTGATTAGGTTGGCTTGATTAGGTTATACTGTACACAGGGTCAAGAAAAGACTCTTGTATGAATCGTAACATAATCGGCTGTATAATTTCGTTAGCAGTGAGATATGACAGTTTAAGTAAAGAATCTCTGTGTAAACTGCAGCACTTTATGCAATATGATGACATGGACACTTTTGACTTTCTTGCTCTCAAATCATCTATAGTACCTTTTGACTATTTAAAAGTAGTTATGGTTATGGTTCCTTTTTTACTATTTAGAAGTATGATGCAAAACCCTGTGTCTCTGTGGAGCTATAAAAGCATTGTTTGCTTGAGCATCCTGACCAGCCTGACCACAGCAACACTCGCGCAACCAGTAGGCGGGACTACCAGTTTTTCTGACCAATAGCAGATAGGGGAAGTGTTCAGTTTGTTTGAAAATCATAATTTCTTTTGCACAAACTGCAATTATTGTTAATTCATAATTTATAAATAATTTTATTTATTAAAAAATTAAATTGACATGCTGCTCATATGGTACATTAAGACATTGAATATTGTTTTATGTTGTTAAATTTAATGTAATGTAAATCTAATGTCAAATAGATAGATAGATAGATAGATAGATAGATAGATAGATGTTTTTTAATGATTTTCTAAATAAATAATTAAATATTTTAAATGTAAATATTTATTTTTGTATTTTATATTTAAATACTTTTTTTAATGTTAGGGTTTTGTTGGTAAGATATATATTAGTTGTTAATTTTGATTTAACTTCAATGTCATAACATGTATGTCATGTATGAGATGTTTTTATGATGATTTAAAACATTTACATTTAAATATTTTAATTTATATATATATATATTTTTTTTTTGTTTGTTTGTTTGTTAATTTTAATGTATTTATTTTTAATGAAAATTGGTATAATGATGTCTTTTCCCCATATTCTCTCAGCAGAGAAAAAAAAAATGCTTAAAGAATTATGAAAAAAAATTTTTATCCAAAAATGAAAATTAGGCTATGCTTTACTCCCCCCGAGGCATCCTAGGTGTATATGACTTTCTTCTTTCAGACGAATCCAGTCGGAATTATATTAAAAATTGTCCTGGCTATTCCAAGCTCTATCATTGCAATCAGCGGGTGTTGCAATGCTTCAGTCCATGTGTTTTTGTAAGAAAAATATCCATATTCAAAACGTAATAATCACTTGAATCTAGCTTGCGCACACTGTTGTAAACGGAAGCAGCTCCGGGCGGATGACCTATGAGGTCAGCGTTGCGCATGCGCCGCTCAGAAGTGACGAACGTGGAAGCGCAGGGCAGAGATCAACACAAAACAACGGTCAAGAATTAGAAGTACAAAACGAGGATTTGTAAAGGAGAATGTCAAGAGGATTTTGATATAAGCCAAGAGGAGACTGGTTTTACTTTGCTAAAGTAAGGAAACTTTGCTTCCTTTGCGCCTGTAAACATACGC